GCTGTAAACAATATTTAGCACTACCCCCCCCTCCCCCATAGTTGCAGCGAGCATGCATAATGAATTAACGCATTCATAAACTCATGCCGGTCTTGTAGTAGACACTGAATCCCATGCTGTTACAGCATGTTTTGAGAGGTTCAGATACCTGGGGTATGTATGATAAAGGTGGTGTAGGTCTGTTCTGGGACGGCTTCACAAGTTGTAGCCGGAATGCAATAATTCACTGTCCACGTCCTCTTTAAATGCTCGTTCCTCAACGATGCATGGTAAAGATGCCGAATTGCAGCGATTAGAACGGAGGTTGTATTCCACGCTTCTTACAAGCATTGATGCATGTTCCTCAGGAAAATAAAGAGCGGGTAAAATACAAAACTTCTGAAGTAATTATTTGCTCGAGGGAGTCGGTTCCGCTCAATGGAACCCATAAATTCAGGTGATCGTGTCGTCCTCACAAGAGCATCCAGGAATGGTGTATTCTGGTTCAGCTTGGTCTCGGTAGCACACCGTATTCGTGGATTTATTGATATCTTGTCCATTCATATTGTCTAACTGTTTCAGCACGTCATTCCTTCAATCTGGCGCCAATTAGCGACTCACTTTGTATCGAGGTACATTGTTAGTGTAAAACGGCTACGAGTCTGATGGTAAATTGTGCCCTGACGATGCTACGCACTGTGTAATGTAACAAAGTTTTACAAAAGTGTCAAAATTTAGTTTTTAGTGTCTTCAGTCATGAATCGGCAGAGCATTTGGAACGCTAGAAACACAAACGCTGTAGCTTGGTTCATGTACAACGGTCATCCCTGGTCATATCGGAACCAGGATTTCTTTGCACTTCAGACCGCAACGAATGCCCAGAGGTCATTAACTTGAAGTGCTAGCTGGACTGTCACGTGAGATCCAAGCAACGACCCTGAACATCAACTGAGCGATGGGCACGATGCTATGTATCTGTGGGTTAATGAAATTTAGCCATAGCCAGTGCTAAGTAGCTGTTATATTGCACACATTTTCTTTACGGGTTTCGTTCCATTCTAACGGCATGGTAAAGTAACGAGTGGGAAAGATTCAAGCACAGATAATATTCTATCGACTGGACTGACACACATTCTGAAGGGGGATAGGAATCATTGTTCAATATTGCTAATAGATAATGATCAATTTATGACATTTATGTTGACTCCAATTAGCTGCTGTGAATTCAGCCTGCTACGGATCATTTATATGGTAACGATGAACATCTTTTCAACTACACGTGGTGATGCAGAAACCTGGACAGTTTCTGACTACCGGATGGTCGTTACCGACGTGAATCAAGTGACGAATTTAATTGTTCGTATTCTGTAAATTATTAGTGCTTTTCTTACCTCTGAAAAAGCGCCATTCACCGAAGCGGAAAATATCGATCATTCTTTGTGTGAGCTAGAGAAACGTTGTCAGTTTTAACCACTGGCTCTCTGAATCAGAAAATGCAACGAGCTTCTTCAACACAGGCACTTAGGTATGTCTATGACATCGCGTATAAGCTTTTTGAAGTCGGTCTTAGAAGACCAAACAGTCCCCCTCCCCAATTTGGCATATATCTTAAGCAAGAGACACGGTGTGTCCGAGTCTGCACCGTACCACCCAGTGCTGTTGAACAGTACTTGTCTAGATATTGGTATAAACCAACGTTTCTCAATCAGTCCACATTCGGGGTGAAGGAGAGACCTACTGCTACTGCTCAAATATCATGGTGTCTTAACAGCTCGAACATATCACTGACGCTTTCATAAATCAGGAAACATGGGATTCCACGCAACAGACTAGGGTTGCTTTTCTTAAGTCTAATAGACATAGACCACGGCAGTGCAGAATGAGTATATGGTAAACTCAACAGAAGGGAGATATTATGACGAGACCTCGTGAAGCCGGATCGACCGAGCAATCCGATGAATAATCGGTTCAATGAAATTTTGATTATTTTCATGGTGATCTTCATTTTGAGCCGATTCGATAAACATAACATCAATGTCTTTCGACGGTTTACTGTATTTTCTACTTCAAGGCATTTTTTTCTGCATCGTAGAAGGAACACTTCTTTCCTGAAGCCAAACCTGTCTTGGCATTGTTCATTAATGTTGCATACGGCCACTTTGCAGAGATCCGCAGTGCTTTGGTTCCCATATGAGAAGTTCGCTGAAAAGAGTCGAGCGTCTGTGCTGAACCATTGTTTAGTAGGACAAACCTCCTTTTATATCTAGTGATGTCACCTGTGCCTCGAACACAGTAGTTTCATTCGTTACGTTGCCGTGCTACTCAACCCTCATTACGCATCAGTGCGAATTCTGATTTACGCTATTCTACCGTGGTTCTTAACTCATCATCGGAATAACCATTTCTGTGCTGTACAACAACACTGACCTGATTAGGGCAAGGAACAGTCGAATTTTGTGCAAAGATCATCCATCTTTGAGCCTATACATTATAAGTGATGCAAATCACTGGAAGTAAGGCCCATCTGTGATTCTATTTGGATGGCGTGGTCACTGGGGACAATGAAACCGATGAATTTCAACTGGTAAACCTCCTCTACCACGTCATCTTCTTGCAGAACGGCTGTGCGGATGAGTTTGTCACGTGTTTTACCTTTCTGCAAGGCTGGCAAAGATGGCCCGCTATCGAGCTGTGCTTCGAAGATCGTTTCGTTTCAATGACAATGTCAAATACACATTCCCCTGGTCAAATCTCTTGAACTGCGCTTCTCTTCTAGAATGACCACTCTCCTTCATGGGGGAAATAGAGTTTTGAAACAGGGATCCGAGAACAATACGAAATAGCAACGAAGAAAACTCGCCTTTCTGGCAAAATACGCATTCAGTTGTGCAGCTTTCCTATGACCTTGATGCCAGAGACATTTTCAGATCTCTGTTCCAACGTGGACACGACGTACTCATGTACTCAAAAAAGTTTTCGGATTCCTCAGATGGATAGGCTGTGTTGAATAAATGCAGTCTGAAAGTCGAGGAAATAGACAAATCGTGGCTCCAGGAATCATCGACATTGTTCTGTGACCCTACGAACATTGAAAAGTTTCTCAGGACTGCAGCACCGTGTTCGAAAGTGTAGATGAGTTTGACAATGGTTCCGTCAACAGTTTGTTCTGGACTTCCGACAGAAGATAAACATTAATAATGTAAGTGTCCGATGATTGGACATTCGGCTCTCGTCCTCGTTTAACGTTGGTCATAAAAAGTATATAATTGCCATCCTGTATTTCGAGGGTTTTGTGCGACGAGGCCGAAGTATTCGCAATTACGTATACCCACTGCTATGCATGACGACTGTTGATGTTTTGTCATCATCATCTGAAGAAAAGAGAACTCAAGCAGTCTGAGTAACCCAAATATATATACTATATGACGTTAGAAATAATATTAGTTTCGCCATCACATTCGCTGAAGAAAATGCTCTCCATCTGATTCTCTGGTTGATTCTACCGTCAAGTCTTCGTAAGACACTTGAGGTTGCGATCATCAAGATGATGATCGAGTGAATAACTCTGTGACTGTCTTAATGTCATCCATTGCAGAGTGTCGTAATCAGACAATACGATGATCGAATGGATCGTTGACCTCGATGCAGAAGTTTCGTTTCACCCGGCATGACCCTTCTCCAAGAACGTATTCCCAACAGGTTTTACATTGCTTGTGAAAACCGCAACAACTTCAAGCCGTTACTATTGAGATCATTAGGGCCATTCTTTCTAATCACGCCTTTCCACTTTTCACTGCGTGCTCTGAAATGCTCATTGATATCGCTCATTAGAATGATGGATTCATTGGTGAGCATTTCGTACACGGCATCTTCTACTTCTTCCAGGAAAGACAGATATTCTTCGTCTGGATTGACTGCATGGGTTTGTAGCAATGCTGCACCTGCTGCATTGAAGCCAAAGGATTGTCACTCTTCGTCTGAGAGGCCATTCATTCGATAATTATG